TCGCTCTCCCCAACAGCTCCCGGTTCATTGCTGCTATGGCGGGTGGATGACGGCACTACGACGTCGAGGTAAGAATCCAAACCTGTACCTATGATCATGATATGTAGTGCATTATGGAGATTCCCATATTTGGGTTGCTGTGGTTGCGTATGCACTTCAAACAAACACATCGGACATTGTCCTGTCGCAATGCAAGGGTTAAGCCCACCCGTTGATCTCCTACCCAAATGCATGCTGCTATTACGATCTCTAAGGTATGGCTAGGAACATACCAACACACAAAATAGTGTGTTTCCCCATCTGCGCAACTCGGGCTTCTTCTTCTTCCCCGGCTTCCCCTTCTGCTCCCCCGCTAGCCCTCGCCATATCGCACTGCACTCACACCGCTATGGCATAAAACACCACACATCCCTTCCTATTATATACAATCCCTGACGAACCCCCCCGTCATTGTGGTCTCCACCACACCGATCTATCACCCTATCCCCGCTCTTACTACAATCTCCTAACCCGCAGACAACCTTACTATCCCGCAACCTGCTTCCATATCTCTCCCATCTATCCTACTATAACTTTCCCATCCCCCGCCCCCATCACACCCACCCTATCACACTCCCCTCGGAACTATACAAAACTAACACACATGTCGCATGGTCTTCACCGATTAAAACGACAGATTCCCTCTATTCAAAGATTATAAGCAATCCTACTTACGAACCCGCCGTCACCAATACACACACATATGCACCCGCATGCACCTCCACATCCAATATCGCAACGCATATCGCCCAGCTCGCTCCTATCATAGTGCAATATCGACCCACCCTTCTCACTCACTCACACCTCTATGCTATCAACACCACACAAAATCTCTTCCTCCGACACACTCCTCCCGTCCTTGATGATTGCACCACACCATCAAACCGATCCATCATCACAACCCACCCTCGTACTATAATTTCCTAACCAAAAGATAGCCTTATCATCCCGCAACCTGAATCGAATCTCTCCCACCCGTCTCCACATCTACACACACAAATACACCCGCAGGCACTTTCACATCCACTGTCCCAACACATGTCGCCCCGCTCGCTCCTATTGCATTACAATATCCACCCACCCTTCGCACACCTCTATGGTATCAACACCATACAAAAAACCCTTCCTATCGTACACAACCTCCAACTTACTCCTCCCGTCCTTGCTGTTTGCGCCACACCACCACACCGATCCATCATCATACTACAACTTTCCAACCCGAAGATAGCCTTACTACCCCGCAACCTGATTCCAATCTCTCCCACTCACCTTCACTTCTACACACATATACACCCCAAGGCCCCTCCACATCCGCTGTCACTACGCATATCACCATGCACACATCTATTCCATTTCAATATCCACCCACCCTTCTCGCCCCCTCACACCTCTAGGGTATCAACACCACACAAAATCCCTTCCTATCATACACAGTTCGACATACTTCTCCCGTCTTCATTGCTTGCACCACACCATCACACCGATACATCATCACAATCCACCCCAGTACTACAATTTATCTCACAACTTGACTTCAATCGCTCCCAGCTATCCTATTACAACTCCCCCACCCCCCTCCCCCATCACGCCCACCCCATCACACTACGCTCGAAACTATACAAGAATAACCCTCATCTCGCATACTCTAATACATCCTCACCATCGTGCCCCCCACACGCCAACCCGCCCCTCGCCTCCGCCGGGTACTTACCTCTCTTCCCTCCACAAGCACGATGCAATGCCTACCCACCCTTCCTGCGCAGACATTCCCCCACCAGCTTAACACCACAAACGACAGATCCTCTCTATTCAAAGGTTATATACCAATCCATGAAAACCTGCCTTCACACCTACACATACATACCCTAAGGCACCGACACATCCACTGACGCAACGCATATTGCCCACAATCCATCTGAATGACTGTAACCCCCCATCATCGCCCTTCATATAAAGACCCTCCAACCTGGCTTAAAAACGCCTACGGCGAAACTTCCCGTTCCCTTCCTCTCCCCCCAAAAAAAACCCTTAATCATTTGCTCCCCATTTCAGTCGATTCAAACTACCTCTTATCGAGCACACCTTCCCCATATGACCTCCTAGCAGTTTTATTCGTTACTCGCTCCCGCCCTTCCTAGACCTTCCTTCGCTCCCCGAAAACGGACTATAATACCTATCCATCACATCCAACCACCCTTTCCTGTCTCGTTCTCCCTAAACACAATGCAATCTTTATACACCTGAGCTAGTTCTCCCCTTCCATCCTTAAGCACAACCTTTCCTAGAATGCTTTCACGACTATACATATTAACTCCCAGCGCACATCTGAGCATCCTCTTGTGTTTCTTTCATAAAGAACTCACCCCCAAAGGCTAGTCAAGTCCTACAAAACACCAAAAAACACTGATGCCAATCGCAAATCACACACCCAATACGTGCACTCTATATATATACACATATATACAACATAAACGAAATCACAACAACCAGCAGCCACCCGAACTGGTGTACATGTCTCTCCGTTTATGCAAAAATGGATCGCCAAACTCCTACACATACAACCTCACCAACACCACAATGAGCAATAGTCCACACAACGATCGGAGAGATTTTGAAAGCACACAAAACCCACAAATTTTTTTTTCTCCCCATACAAGATACCCAGTTTAATCCCTATCAACCAGCAACATGCCACTATCATGGAAAGAAGAAGTCGCACAGTAGATACAACCCACACTCACACACACACGCAAGCTACAATTGCAAGATGTATAAATTTTCTCTCCACCGCTCCGCCGCACAAACACAAGAAATTCCGAGCTCCACTGCACAAACACAAGAAATTCCTAGTGGTATGCTACCAATTGGTTAAAAGAGACGAACAAAATAACACTGTAACGTCCCAAATTGAATACTAATCCGTTGGAAAACGGAATCTCCGCAACACGAACATGGCCCCTAACATGCCAATTGCCGCCTCCAGCACACTCACACAAGGTAAAATCTTCCACACAAAACCCCAAAACCGTGCCTTACACACAAGTAGAGCTGGCGCAGATCATCCATACTACACCCCCACCTGTCCGTAATCTACCATCAAGCTCGACCCAAGGAACACGCCACTCTTTCCTCACCCTACGCAAGCTTGGAAATCTCGCACAACACCATGCTACGGGCAACACATACCAACACGACCTCCAACCACGCGTAGCGATTCGCATCACCTCCGATGAAACCACATACTCAAACCACGGCACCTCAGGCCATACTAATCAAACATATCAAAACGAAGCTCCCCATGCAGATATGGCCTGTCCACCAGTGGAGGATCGAGAACTGTCTCCCACTCGGCAATACCAGCAAGCTTACCATCGTGCTCCACAGCGATCTCCGACAACAATAGACGAACTATTTTCTCAACAATATCATCAGATGTCCCAGCATGATGATCAAGTACGTCATTATGTAACTTCGTCACGAAGACGGATGCATCGCGTAAATCGTCCCCGACGTAACCCAAACCCACATCCATGCGCAACACCAACACACCATTAGCATCCACCTCATACTGTCGATAACCAAAACGAGTATCCACCGCCACAAAACCGAAATCACGAATCGGTTGATGATCCCGGTACTCCATCATCTCATAGATGATCACGGTTCTGCCACGAACTTGTCCACGACACACCACAGATGCCGACATTATCGATGACGGATGCAACCTTATCCGACTAAGTACTACCACAACGTAACAATACACACGATAACCCCCTCCGTAGCAGATCGACTAGCAGAATCTCAATCCAACAATCTGACCAACAATTGCGCCGAAAAACCTTGATACTGTCCCCCTCGACACATAACCTTTTATACGCTCCCATCACCCACACAACCCTGTAGCCACACACACACCGAGACCAGGTCCCTTTCTTTTTCTCTTTCTTTTTCTCTTTCTTTTTCTTTTTGCCTTTTGTTCTTTGCCGCCCTTCCGCAAACGACATTACCCATACACCGCCGCATACCAAACATTTTTTACTGTCGCAACAAACTGTCCATATCCCACAAACCACAGATCATGACCCTTGAATGCAAACCAACCCACGTAACCAAACGACACTAGCATGCTCCTACAGAGGATATGAATAAATCAGTCGCAAAATCAAGAAAGACACTTCACACAAAAACTAAAAACCACCTTTGCAATATAATGTCGCGACCACACGACGCACAAAGTCAATAAAACCAAACAAACGAAATACAAAACCAACGTCCATTAACAAGATATTCAAACACGTTCACGATCTTACCGGTTGTAATCTTAACCTGACAATTATAAATTGCTTCGTCCCCATGTTTTACAAATGTGGTTTTTTATTTTTATTCAGAATTAACAATTAATTAATTGTTATTTTTTATTCTTTAGTAGTTTCTCGTCCCTACTATCTCCTCACCAAAGAAAATAAACGATACAGTCACCACAATATAGCATACTTATCCTTGACGAAATAATCAAAAATAACGGGCACGCACCCCCCCTCAGAATATCCACTGCCCACCCCCGCCCATACGCCAAAATTCTGCTTTGCCTCCCATCATCCCTTAATAAACACTCAATGCACCAACCAGTACCCGTATGGGAAATCCGCTATAACAGACCTATATCCTCCCCCCATGACATCCCAAACATTATGCGATTTGCTAAACCTATGCATCATCACGCACCACGCATGGGCGACCTTTGACATGACTACTCCATGAACATAACAGCGAGTCACCGGACCCCTACCTCGGCTACACTCGGCAATGCCCGCCTCATTCCTACACAACTAAGTTGTCACAAAAGTAACAACTCTCTGGCCACAGAAAGATCCCCCCTGAATCAACAGTATGTCACGCAACCAACATTGCCCTATCGACGGAACAACGTCACGAATTAGAAATCAGTTGGCTATACTAAACTTACACCATAAGATCCCAACCAGCACTCATGCCGTATAGCACTCACAATAGCTTCATCCCAAAACAACACAATTGGACAAGGAATAAAATAAATCGCCACACCACACACCCATACAAAAGATTTCCCTTTGTAACAAGACTTCGTTACTCAAACCCATTACACCTACACCTACTAACCACCCACCAAATTGTGTCCCCGTCTTGGTCTCTGCAGGATGACTCCGAAGCGGTAAATGGATGGCACCACGAACTAACGAAGAAAGCCAGGCCCTTCATCCACCTCGCCCCCCCCAGCATACATGCGCAAATCGCCATGCTCGCCCTCCCAGAGCAGATTCTGCAAAAGGTGCACGACGCAACGAATTCGCAGCCCCCGTTTCTCATCGAGAACCTGCTCTTCTCGGACTGGGCACTGATAGCTGCCAAGTGGGCAGCCCTCAGAGGAGAGGAAGAACCCATCATCCAAGCGTATGCCAAAGACATCGCCGCCATCATCAAGAAAGCAGCAGTACAGAATTGAGAAATGGACAAGATCGTGGCCAAAACCGAGAAAGCCATACTTGACCTCCATGGCTTCAGTTCGACACATCTTAGCAATCAAGGTGAGGTTTCCACGGCTGAAAACTCTGACGAACACAGGCTAAAGATGTTAGAGCACCTTAAACCCTCATAAGCCGAAAGAGAATGGTATTTGCAGAAGATTGCGCAGAGGCAACAGCAGGCCTCCAAGCCTGTCACCCCTACGACAACACCTCGCAAATCCAACCTCTTTAAAATGTCATCCGATGCGCCTTTTATCCCCCCACAGACCGACAGAAGGATTGAAAGCATCAGTAGTAGCTACGACAACAAACTTTGGCTACTTGATTCCTTCAATCACACCGCTCCGATCTCCATCCAAGCATATGCCACGCTGGCCAACCTCTCTGAAGCAGATCTTGCGGAATGCAGGGACGATGCACAAAAAGCCAGCATCTGCAAACTCGCGATAGATGCAAACTTCCCCATCCTTAGGCCACTGGACACATCCAAGTGCTCCAAATGACACCCCCTCCTTCACCAAAAAGCGATACAAAAACCAACTACTGAATTATATGAGTTAAAAAAACTTTGGAATTCGGGGAGACCCTACCTGAAATGTAACTGTCCAACGCACAGCGGTGTGATCACCTGGTTTGATCACATGCTATGGTTTTATATCGCCAACCCAGACATATTCGAGGTTGACGTACCCTCGGATATGATGCGGATGGTTGAATTAATTGACAAACTCCAAACCGAGTGGAGGAAACCTATTAAACTGCAGGTCACATTCCTCTACATACGTCGCCACATGATGAATCTCACACACTTGGTGGCAGCCAACCCGCAGTACACCATGGAACAACACTACGACAGAGCCCCGTACAGGGACATGCCTCTGGCCAGGAAAATCCTGGTCACGCTCCTCCCGACGACCAGCAAAACCCCAATGAATGCACCTACCCCTACAAAACGAAAGAATGTTCTAACCCCGGACATCATCCAACGGAGCAAGAATAGACAGACCACAATCACGTTCACAACACCACCAGCTGCCTCACCTCACACCCCCTCAGCACCTTGCCAACCTTCGTCACGTCCTCACACGCCTCCCAACCCTGTTTTCCACCAACACCTCCAACAAATGCACAACCAGCTCCCACTTCCAACACAACGCAACGCTAACACACCCCCACCGCCACAACCCACATCGACCCACCCCCCAGCACAGATCCCGCCACAAAACCATGCACAAACCCGCAACCAAGAACGCCCGAACACAACCCGCTCCCGCAGACGCTCCTCAACCGCTGCACCTCCCAAAAGATCTCAAAAAGGGAGATGGCGGAAACGCAAGGATAGACTTGCCGCAGCCAGGCTGGCACAACAACACGCCAACCCCCAGCAGCCACCACCACCACCACCACCCGCCCAACGCCAAGATACTGGTACCTCACAGGATAACCAACACTCACAACCCATCACACAAAATCACCAGCCACCTGCAGTACCGCAGACTACTGTGCCTGCGATCATAAACCTCCACCCATCCCCTCAACCACAGCTGCTGCACAGCAATCCAGCACAACCAGCCACGATACATGCTCAGCAGTTCATACACAGCATTCTCACCGCCTGCATGCAACAACCGAACAACGCGACAGTCCTCCCGCTCCCCGCTCCAACCATTGCACATGCAGCCTCACACAATACACCACAGACCCGAAGCTGGATGCCTACAATCCACCAGTTCCTCTCCCAACACCGACAGCCAACAAGACCTGCGACCACACACACGAAAGGGAATGGACGCCAAAATCCAATCGTCCTCGCCTTTGAATCCCCTGACACACCGCCCATGATCCACAATGACATCAGTGCCCTCCTCGAGCCATATAACGTTGAATGTTCGCTCGTAGATCCCAACCTCGACAAAAGCTACTCCACGGACATTGTGCATGAAATCCCAGCTCCCCAGGCCATAAGCAAGCACATTAGAAGAAGTCTCAGTGAAGAATTTACGAACAACGGACTGAAGCTCACGGACCTGTGAACAATTTTGGATAATGACTCCAGCAGCCCCAGCAGCCCCCCCCCGCATCCTACCAGACTCCGACATGCAACAAGAAGACATTCCTCCCATCTAGAAGTCCATGAAGATTGAAGACTAATACCGACAGAATGCCCCAGCAGTAGGAAGTGCATCATCAGAGCTACCTGCTCCTTACTATGGCAGATTGATGCAGTCGTACTACTACTATCCCCTGAACACAGCAACAAGAACCAAGGATCGCCGGGCTATGCAACATTGACGCATGAAACTTCAAGTTGGAATGTACGATCGGGCATGAACAGTCTGCTTAGGATAAGAAATCAGTGCTGATCGTCAGTACTAGAAATTCAGATTCTGGTCTGTTTTTGTAAGCATTTGGACATGTCATGGTTTTTCGGGCATTAGAGTTGCTACAGATTTTAGCCATTCAGAGTTTTTCAGTTCCTAATTTTTCCAACTTCAGACCAATTGGTACTTTTTAAATTTTTAGTATTTAACTTTTATTTCCGGTTGATTGACAGGAGCTTTAGCTATAGCAATTCCCAGTTGTTGACATGAGCTATAGCTGTAGTTGAATCTCTAAAAACAGTCTGGTCTGTTTTGTAAGCATTAATAGACATATCATGCTTTTTTCGGGGATTAGAGTTGCTACAGATTATAGCCATTCAGAGCTTTTCAGTTCCTAGTCATTCCAACTTCGGACCAATTGGTACTTTTTTTAGTATTTAACCTTTATTTCCGGTTGTTGACAGGAGCTATAGCTATAGCTATTCCCAATTGTTGACTGGAGCTATAGCTGTAGCTGAATCTCAAAATAAGGCTAAATATACAGTTTTTTTTTAATAACATCTTGATTTTTTCCAAGCTCTACCCTCCATCCTTGTTGATGACCTGCGTGACGATATTGTAAAAGCATAAAACCAACACTTGCATGGTTGCTTGCAACATCCCTGAGAGACTATATTATTGCAATTACTCCTTACTATGAAATCTGTTTGCCCTGAATCCCATACAACTGGGGCTGGAAAAAACCCTCCAATAAATGTATGAGCCCGACAAAAATAAACCCCTTGACTCTGTGACATGTTCTTCTCCCGTCTTCCGCATCCACCCTCCACACAACCTGCATTAAAACATGTACAACCTCAGCCCACATCCGCCGTCCCGTTCTCTCTCCCAATCCCCAGCTAACCCACACAGACTGCGC